AAGTGTCTCTGAAAGTGGCATTATTGTATTTTTTATTAAAAAAATTTATTTTTATATCTCGATAAAAAGATGTTTTCGCGAGCTGGTTTTTTTAAAACCGCTATTACGCATGGTCACTTATTATAGAAAAGCAGAAGATTATTAGTTATTTTCTTTATTTAACCAAAAAAAAAACTGATACATATAGCGAATGAAAACAAAATAAACGATCAAGAAAATCATTAATCAGTCTAATGGTAATGATAGTTCAAAAGAAAATGATTGAAGCACAGTTCTTGTTGACACCAAGAACATCGAATCATCGGTCCATCAATACAACTTTTTTCATGACATTTATCTGTTTGAAATGTGAAATAGATGTCTTTCGCATTCTGAAATGGCCCTGGATCATGTTTCAAAAACCCGCTTGTGAACCAGGCATATTTTATCATCGGTCGAAATGCTTTTGAACACATTTGTGATTGTACTAATGATTGCAACTTGATCAAATTATTACGTTCGGATAAATTGATATCTATTTCATCTAGCCGTACGTGGTCATATATACGACGTACAATTTTCTTATGTTGGCGGTTGTAATACACATCAAGAGGTTGGATTATTGGGGTAGTTTTTGGTGGAATTACTCTATATTCAAAATGTTTCAATCCTTTATAAACTTCTGGATGAACTTGATGTGGCAAACTATCGACAAGTAATAACGTTCTGGATTGTAGATTTGGAATTAAACACTGATTAACCCAATAGGTGACAAGTGACGATGTTAATTTACCACTTTTAGAACAAGTAAGTACAATGTTCTTTGCATGAAACAGGTTCTTTTTCACATTATCACCAATACGTCCTGATACCTCTTTTAAACACATATATAGTGGGTTAAGAACACATCCATCCATTGTTATTATTGGTTGTATGGTATAGGCATGAGTTGCAGCCCCAAGTGATCGAACAGAACCCCAAGTAGATTTTTCTCCACTATGGGTTAATGTTCTACCACCATGAACCTCCAACTCAACACCTATCTGATCTGTGTTCAGTACTTGATTTGGACTATATCCCTCTATGATTTTATTTGTTTCCAAAACGAAATTTTTAGCCGATTGATAAATTTCTTCCTGGCTTTCAACAACCTTTTTCGTGACCAATTTCGTTATTTTTCGACTACATATTCCATGTCGATATTTAAAGTTCCATAACCAACCTTCACTGGCTTCAAAATCATTTAAATTTAATTCACGAGCTTTTTTAAGACCCCATCTTCGTAAGTCAATATCATGAACCGATAAAAAATTATGTCGCGCATGCTCGAATTGATCATAAACATAAATATCGACATTATCCACTTTTTGTTGTTTTGTACCACCTGCTTCTATATACTTACGAAAGCGAGCAATACACTGTGGATTTGGTACACGTTGAAAGCGATGTTTTACAATTCGCCATTTTCTTTTTCGTTTACCTGTAATTGGATTTATTTCATCATACTAATCAACCACACGTTTCATGTAATCGAGTGAGAAATGATTTTGTAAGTTATATTCATCAATTGGTTCATAATCAGTATCTTTGATTGAATCAAGATGCTCGTCTGTGGATGTCAATGGTAAGAGATCCTCTATATCTTCATCATCTAATTCATCGTCATGGTCCAATGTATTTTCCGTTTCAAATATATGAGAAGTACTTTCCAGAATGGACTCCAAACATTTATAAAAATTTGATGCAACATGTTCTTCATCAGGATGGATTGAAGATGGTGAATAACGGAATAATTTATCTGATATCAGGTTAGATAATACTTTTAGGACGTTGTGAGGATTAATCATTTGTATTGTTGATAAATATAAATGATGATGAAATAAAAATTTGCTTACTATTTGTTTACTTTCTGATGGTAGTTGACTACTAATAGTTAGTCAGAAAGAAGTATCATTCTATTACGTGTATGAAATGTTTATTATTTCAAGCAACGGATATTTATATATATACAAGAGTGCAGAAAGGGAAAGAATTTACTAGACCGTAGTAAAGGGAAGAGAACTTACCAGAGAGTACAAAAACGAAAATATATGATTCATATAGAGAGAAACCGAATATACTGGAACATATTACTTGAAAAGATAGTGTATATGCATACACGTATGACAGCAGAACGAAAGAAAATGCAGATGGAATACGTATACGATGACGTCACAATAGTGATAGAACGAACGAGATGAATAAGCAACCATACGTAATAGCAGTTTTAAAAAAACCAGCTCGTGAAAACATCTTTTTATGGAGATATAAAAATAAATTTTTTTAATAAAAAATACAATAATGCCATTTTCAGAGAAACTTGTTGTGCTTGTTTCTCTGCGACAAAGCAGCATGGGGACGAATCCTTCTAGGGTTTTTATCTACACTATGAGCCCTACCTATGAGCAAAATATGAGCTCAAACGGAGTGTATCAGTTGGTGAGGTTCCCTCGTCAATCAAGTGTTCATGCTTGTTTCTTCCACTTGACACAAAACATCTATCGACAAGTTCAAAAAGCAGGTTTTACAACTAAATATGGGAACGATGAAGAATATGCACATGCAGTACGAATGCTGCCTGCATTAGCTTTTTTGGAAACAAATGATATCTATTCAACATTTGAAGATATTGGTGGTCTACAAATTCCAGATCTTGATCCAGTTTGCAATTATTTTGAAGATTACTACATAGGTAGATTTCGAAGTCGCAACAGAAGGATAATTCCAACGTTTCCAATCACATTTTGGAATGTACACAATTTGTTACGGAATCAGTTCGACCACACTAACAACGCCGTCGAAGGATGGCACCGACGACTTAACAATATCGTAGATTCAGCTCATCCTGGATTTTGGCGTTTTTTGAGTGACCTTCAAACAGAACAATCATATGTAGATGGTGAAATTTCTCAACTAGTAACAGGTCTCGTACCAAAACCAAAGAGAATCAAAACTCAACAAACAGCATCCAGAGTTTTACGGATTTTAGAAAATCCTACAAATGATAATATACAAAAAATAAAAGCGATTGCTCATACATTCATGCTAAAATTGTTCATTGATGTGTTCATCTTGTTTACTTTTGTTATTTTGTCTACTTCTTTTTGTTCATTGATTTGTTCATTTGATTAATTTTTGTTATTTTGTCTACTTTTTTTCGTTCATTATCTTTCACTTTTTGACAAAAATATTTATTTGCATATAACACACATTCATTTTTGCACACAATCATCTGTACACAAAAATCTAACACACAATTGTCTGTTCACACAATTTTCTTGCACACAATTGTCTGTCCACATAATTTTCTTGCACACAATTGCCCATACACATAATTGTTTGCACATAATTGTCTTACAAACAATAGTCTTACACACAATCGTCGTGCTCCCTAAAAAATTACAACCAGTACAGTAAACAATTGATGTGATTAGCAATAATACAGAGACAGGAAGACTAGCTGAAGATGATGACGACAATATGACTAGGGAATAAGATAATACCGAAGTACAAGTAGTTGTTGAACAAACACTAATGTCATCAGGTGTTCAACCAGAAAAAAGAAATCGAAGAAAGGCGTATTCAGCAGAGAATGGCTAAAAGTCGTCGAATATCAACGGTTTTTAAAAGAATATCAATTTGATTCTATCTCAAGCAACACGTATTGTTTGTAATCAATAGTTTTCGGTACATTATCAAGGAAAAGCCTATATTAATAATTACAAGAACACTCAGAAACAGAAAAAACTGAAATAATCAGCATTATAACAAATAAAACGTTTATTAAACGATAAAAGAAACTCTATGAGAACCGAGCTTCTTTCAGTTGAAATAAAATATGTTTAAATTCCTCCTAATTATGTACTGAAATGTACAAATATTTGTTAGCTAATCTAGATTTATTAAAAGCTATTAAATTCGATGTGAAATATACAGGGTGATTGAAAAGTAACTAGCTATTTTAAATTCTTTATTACTCTCATACAACAAAAGATATCGTCCTGGTTTTTTCACCATCTTGAAGCATGGACTATGCCATTTTGTTCTAGATGAAATAAGTCGATTGATTATCTGACTGTCTAAGATGAAGCACGAAGTTAGTTTAAAATAGATGAAAATGACTTTTTATTTTGAATCTATTACCAAAGTATCTTTGTAGTAATAGCTAGAATAATTAGACAGCAGTATTTTTTTCGCTACTTCTCAAGGTTTTAGTGCAAAGAAGATGATGTCTTTTATAACTACGCAATACGTGAGAGTTAATAGTAAAATGTAGAATAGGAGAAAAAGAAGAAAATAATTTTAGAATATCAATAATTGTCGTTGATGGATGAAGAGAGAGAAAAGAAAAGAATATAAGCTTTATCCATCGGGAAGAAAAGAAGAGAAGGTAAAGAAAATGACTCCACATGTACATGTACACAGAGAAAGTGAACAAACTCTAACAGAAATCATTTATTGATCGTACACAACAACATATATCAAAACAATTTCTTCGTTAATTTGACGTGTAATACCACTCTGTTTCAAAGAAATTAACATGACCAAACTACTAACTGTTCAAGATCGAGCATTAATTGCGACTCGATATGAGATGTGGCAGTCGGTGATTGAAGTACAAAGATGGTGGAGGAGTCAATGGGGCAGACATGCGACACTTCATCCAGATACTATCAAAAACTGTCATCAGAAGTTAATGACAACTGGTTCTGTATGCGACACCGAACGCTCTGGAAGACATTCAAGCTCTCGTTCACCAGAAATTGTTGATATCGTTCGAGAAATGTTTACTCAAAGTTCAGAGACTTCCATTAGAAAGGCCTCGTTAGACACTGGTT